ATTTCTTTTCATTAGCTGGAAAATGGAGATTTAGAAAGCTTAGAAACTTGACCCAACTGGAAAGAAGTAAGAGATGGTGGACCTTGAAAATGACTTCAGGCTTTCTCACTGTGCAGGGTATAGTCAAATACTGCTGCAGTTAAATACTTTACCCTTTGTTCTCCCTGAGTGATCTACAATAATAATCTGCTTTGTGTTGATATTTACTGCTGTGTTGCTGACAATTACCTGAGAGAGAAGTTGGGGTGCTTCACTGAGCTGGAAAAAGGTTAGCTAAATCAGAAAGCAGGTCTAATTAAGCAAATTTATTCTATATCTAAAAAAAGCTCAGTTGACTCGTGCATGTGCGATACATATAAAGCTCTCGCTGGCACCAATTGCACGCATGTTTCCTTTTCTCCCCCCCCCAAACAAGGAAATGCTTATAATTGAAAAAATACATGCTTGATCCTAAGTTTAAAATACACATATCACATTTACATACATGAAAAAATATACCAAAATTGTTCGTAGTACCTCTCTGGATGGTATGAAGATGCATGATTTCTATTTGACTTCCTACTTTTCAAAGTATCTACAATAACATATATTTTAGTGGCTGTCCTGTGACCAACCTCCAGCTAATCCCACCTGCTTCAAGATTTCACATGACACGTGACACACTCTTCTCCCACAGCTGCTCCTAGCAGGCACCTCTGCGCTGCCCTTGAACCTCTGCTCCCAGCACCGACCCACTGCCTCCCGGGGCTCAGGCATGTTTACACCCCAGCCAGGGTCAGCTGCACCTGATGTCACGGTAGATAACTGACTTAAACACGACACTTATGAAGTGTGACTCTGTACAGAAGACTGTGTCCATGAAAACCAAGGTGAATGCCTTCCATGCATTTTCAAGTTTTGGTTGGAAAAGAAAAACCCGCTTGTTGGCAACACAGATGTAAATATTAGGAAAGAAGAGCATGTAAATCTGGGAAGATTTTGTATGTAGATGCTCTCATAAGAGTGCAATCCACTGTAAAGAAACCGAAATGTGAAACCGTGGGTGACTTTAAAGGCGTGGGTTTTGCAAGACAAAGGGCCGATCGGAGGCTGGTGGTAGGCCCCTCCAAGGAGGCCTGGCCCCCTCCACGCGCCTGGTGAGCCCGTGCACATGTGCATGGATTAACTTAAAGACAAATATTAACTCCTATTATGATTCCTGCTTGAGTCTACTTTTTCTCATTCTGAATTTCTACAATCAGGAGAAAGAAAAACCCCCCAAGACATCCATGTTTAAAAGTGAGGTCACCTCCCAGTTCATGCCGGAACAACTGTGATGTCACTCCTGGTTAACACAGAGCCGGACTAGCAGTCACTCCTGGTCGACGCAGACCCCGGACAGGCACAGTCACTCCTGGTCGATGCAGACCCCAGACAAGCACAGTCACTCCTGGTCGACGCAGACCCTGGGCCAGCACATGAGGAGGAGCTCGGAGCTCAGGCTGCACTGGTCCCAAGAGTCGGAAGACGAGCTCAGGATGTAGACACTACACACTTGGGCAACTTCCCTCTTGGGGCTGCAGTCCCATACTCCAAGTCCTGGGGGCCGCTGCGCCTGGTGGGCTAGCAAACCAGGACTCCCACAATGCAGTGCTCCACCCACACGCGTGTGTTTCCACCTGTCATTGTCCATCGTGAATTTGGTCGACATTTCTATTATAGAGAAAGGGCGAATAGTGATATTAAAATATTTCTTGTAATTAATTTCCTTTCAATGTGCATGAATTCATGCACTAGGCCACTAGTTTCTTATAAAACTAAACATACTCGTCCTGGACTGTGTGCTCAGTGGTTAGAACATAGGCTCTCAAACAGATAGGCAGATTCTTTGGTTCGATTCCCGGTCAAGGGCATGTACCTGGGTTGCATGTTCAATTCCTACCCCTGGCGTGTACAGGAGGCAACCAATCAATGTGTCTCTCTCACCTCTCTCTCTTTCTTTCTCTCTTCCTCCCCTTTCCTTCCTTCCTTCCACTCTAAAAATCAATGGAAAAAATGTCCTCCAGTGAGAATTAACAACAATAAAAAAAAAAAACCCAACAACAAAAAAAACCCTAAACATACTCTTATCATACAATCCAGTCATCACACTCCATGGTACTTACCCAAATGAATTAGAAATTTATGTCCACACAAAAACCTGCACAAAAATGTTTATAGTAACTTTGCTTGTTTTTTTATTATTATTTTTAAAATTATTTTTTCAGTTTATATTTTCTAATCCGTTATATAAATTCACTACTATATACCAGTAAAGCAGCATTTTAAGACATGCTAAAAAGTATAAAGATCCATATAACTATCACATGCTTATTTTTCTTGTAGCTTAAGAAATAAAGCATTACCTAAGTTGTTGGTTCTCCCTGGTAATCTGTCCCATCCTCTTTCCTATAGTAACTTTACTTATAATTTCCAGAACTTTGAAGCAACAAAGATGTTTTTCAGTAAGTGAATAAATGGTAGTATATCCAGACGATGGAATATTATTCAGTTGTAAAGTATACAAGCTATCAAGACAAGGAGGCAACGTAAATACATATTGTTAAGGGAAATAAGCCAATCTGAAAATGCTGTATGTAGTATGATTCCAACTATGACGTTCTGAAAAAGGCATAACTATGGAGACAGTAAAACAAAACAAACAAACAAACAAAAACCTGTGGTTGCCTGGAGTCGGGAGGGAGGGAGGAATAGGTAGACCTCACAGGATCTTCAGGATGGTGAAACTGATCTGTGTGATTCTATAATGTTGAGTTGGTGTTACTATATATTTGTCAAACCCCATAGAATGTACGCCAGGGGTGAATGAAACACCTTTGAGCATCTCACATACCTCAAAAGCAGTTCATGGATTGTTGCTCTCAGCCACTCCATTCTCCCCTGCCCCTTCTACCATGGCCCTAGTTCAGCTCTTACCCTTTCTCTGTCCCCTAGATCTGGTCTTATTCCCTCAAACACATTGTTCTCAGTAGCTGCCTAAAACTCAAATCTGACTATGTCTCTCCACTGTTTACAACACTTCAAGCTAAACCCCTTCTTAGGGTATAGGAAGCCCCTGTCACCTGGCCCAACCCCCCCTCAATCTTACCTCCTACCACCCCAATTCACATACCTTAGAAACATCGAACTGCTGTGCTTGCCCGAATGTTATGTGCTCTTGTAGGGCTCTCTCTGTTGACACCCTACTATCTGTCTGTAATACTCTTCTCCCCACCCACTGGTTAACTACTACCTCTCCTCTAAGTCTGTTGCCCCATGAGACTGTGAGCTGAAGAGTGGGGACTACATCAAATTCCCTTTTTCTGATCTTTTTTCCAAATTCTAGAAGCCAATGGGCCCCAGGCTCAGTCCTTGTCTCATGGGGCTTTCTTAGGTGACAGCCCCAGTCTCAAGGCTTTCCATACCATCAATCTGTAACAGCTCCCAGACCGACACTCCAGCCAAACAATTTCCAGTGCAGACATTGCCCCTTGTTCTGTCGGCTCCTTCTCCAGATCCCCACACAACTGGCTGCTTATTCAGGCCTCAGTTCAAATGGCACCTCCTCTTGACTTCTCTATTCAAATGGTCCCATACCCACTTTTCCCCCTTAACTTTCCTTGTATTATGTTTGAAATGAAATCATTTTACTTTATTGTCCACCTCTCCTACCACACTACCCTATGAGATTGGGGAGTTTTGATTCATTACTTTATTTCAGAGCCTAAGCCACTGTATGGCACATTGTAAACACTAAACATTTGTTGAATGAATGAATGCCTAACATAGGTCTGATACTTGCTAACACTTGAGTGATATGTGCTCGATACTGCGCTACATGCACCACAGGAACTGCTTCCTTTTACCTAAGTATTACCATTAGCCTATTCCACACTGAGACATGGGGTTTATTGCTTGCCCAGGTCACACAGTAAGCAGGGATATGAATATTGGCAGCTTGATCCAAGCTTCCTTTCTTAGCCACTGTGCTATCCTCTCACATCTGGAAGTATTCACAAGGTGTATTCAGAGGAAGGCAGGGAGGCAGGGAAGGGGGAAATGCTTCTAGTTCCAATGTTCTGTGACTCTTGCAGGTGCAGATGTCTACGGTTTCCTCAGCTCACAGCTCGACACCGCTGGATAAAGGCCCCCTTTCTGCGGCCTGGGCCTGGGCCTTGGGTTTGCCCCACACAGGAAATGAGGGAACTGGCCCCCGAAAGCGAAAATGTGGGTGGAACTCACCCTCCTCCAAGAGTGACACACAGTAACAGCAAGCAAACGGTGCTTCCCTGCAATATTTATTAAGGAATTCACACAGACACAGGAGAAAGGCAACCAGGGACTGTGGTTCCCACGGCCGAAATCTTTTAAGCAAAGTCTTCTTGTTTTAATTTTCAAGTAGGGTGAACAATGACTGAGAGGAAAGCTGCCGGGCTCTCCGCCTCATCCCTGGCGCAGGTGGGGAAACAGCAGCCCGGATACACAGGCATGGACGAGTGATTAGCAGGTTGGGAGGGGAAAGGAGGGAGAGAGCCATCAATGAGACTGCAATTCTTTTTTTTAACTATTAGAAAAACTGGCAACAGTTTTAGGCTGTTGATAAAGTAATTCCTCTCTGTTGTAAACCTAAACCTGAAAAACCAAAAACAAAAATAGAGCAGATGGGGAGAGAGTGGGAGGTGGAACACACACACACACACACACACACACACACACACACGCACGCACGCGCACACACACGCACACACGCACACGCACAGTACACGCGTTAAGCTCTGCATTCCCTCTGGAAGGGCTGGTCCTGCAACCACGGAACCAGTTTCTACTGCAGGCAGGACGGAGGCAGGGGAAGGGCTGTGTGTTTGTGAGGGACCTCCGTAAGTCTTTGGTGCTAATAAAGGCTGACTGAAGCAGCAAGTCCTGAAGCTTCAGATCCAGAAAGCAATGCAGGGGACCGGAGAGTAGTTTTTGCTCATCCTCATAGATGGGTTTGTATCTCCCCAAGGTTAGGGGCCAACCTGATCTAAGACCCAGTAAGTATTTGATTTTATTTCAGTACTTTCTTCATTCCCATAAATCATGGGAGCATAATCCCTCCCTCTTCAACTAATAATTTAAATATGTAGAAATAGTTTATTAACACACATGGAAGTATCTCCAAACCCTCCCCTCTTTGCCTAAAACACACCTACAGACCCTCTGAGAATCTGATTGGAGGTTTAACCTTCCACAGTAAGTGCCTTCTGCCAAGAATTCCTAAGGTGCTGGTGCAGGAGAGGACTGGGTGACTGGGAGGAAGTCGGGATGGCTAGGGGACATGTACATATAAAACAACAGAGAGGTCTGCGTGTCTCAGAAGTGGCTGGGCTGGGCAGAATGCCAAACCCCAAATGACAGATTGAGCAATTTCTAAACCAAACAGAGAGAGGTAGGAAAAGGGGAAGGGGTGAAAGAGTTGGAGAGAGAGGAAAAGCGGGGAGAGAGGGGGCGGAGGAGAGCGGCAGCCATATAGGTGATTTGTATTCATTTCCACATCTGAGAGCTGAGAGTCTGACTTGCTGCCTGTCCATTTCCGCCGCTCATCGACGGTCCATAGCTCAGCATGCCATTGGCTCCACATAAGTTCATCCCAGCCATCTGCTGGGTCATCTGGAAGGGAGAGAGGAGACTTTCAGACCAGGATGTGGGCATGCAGCCAATGAGTGCGAAAGGCAGGGCAGGAGTCCTTCCGTCAGTGGGGATGGGGGAATGAGACAAAGAAGAACTCTTATGGTACTTAACTGCTCAGAACCTCAACAGGGCATTTCAAGGACACCAGACCACATAAATGAAGGACTTTTCAGAAAAGAGATACTGACAGAGACTAACCATACTCAGGGAGGGAAGAAGGGATCCTGGAGCGAGACAACATAAAAGCAGCATGAGAAGTTATTGTTTCTTCCTTCCAGGCCCTCATCCTAAAGAGAAGGGGCCGACTGTTCATTTGCCGCCAACAACCCCGAGAGTACAGAGAAACCCCCTCGCCAGCGGCCAGCCTGGTCTCCAGCAGCGTTATTACTGCCAGTGAAAGTGCTTGCGCACGCTCCGGCAGAGAGAGAGAAACTGGAGTGTTCAGAGGAACAAAGGAAGGCACACAAAAAGCCCACCGTGCCTTCGGTGCCTGAGAAGGGAAGTTGTCGGGAGAAAAGAGGCAGTGGGGTCAGGGCCTCTTTTTGAATTAGACTGGAAGACCAGCCTCTGGCAGAGAACGGAAGAAACAATCCATCAAAGCAAAACACCTTACATCTCCTCAGCCCAGGACATTTTCTCTAGAAGCTCTTTTTCTTTAGGAGTCTATTTTTCTTCCACCAACTTTTAAAGAAAATTTCAAGCTTACAGAAAAGCTGAAAGAAATAGTTCACTGAAGCCCATCTATTCCTTTCTTTTTTTCTCTCTCTCTATTCCTTTCTTAAATTCACCAATTATTAGCATTCTGCCATCTTTTCTGATACATCTGTATAAACTTGAAAAATTTTGATGGGTACTAAAAACTACAGATATTGTGACATTTCACTCATTACGTCAGGATGCATTTCATAATAAATAACACATTCCTGGAACCACAATATAATTAGCATGCTCAAGAGATTTAAGATTAATGCAATATTCTGATATACATTTCATTTTCATATCTCTTTAGTCTCCTTTAATCTAGAACACTTCCCCCACCACATTTTTCTTTTTTTCCTGACACTGTTTTAAGAATCTAGGCCATTACTTGGCAGAAAATCCTTCTATTTGGATTTTATATGATTGAATCCATTTCTGGCAATAATTTATGTAGGTGATATTATGCCCTTCTTAGGTCTTAGTGCAAGATACCAGAAAGCACATGATATTAATTTGTCCCACTGTTGGTAATTTTATGTTTGATCACTTGGCTAAGGTAGTAACTGTAATTACGTTTTTCTCTGTAATTAATACATACCCGAAGCATATTTCTTTGAGAATATGTGATACCTATTTTTCTACAATTATTAGTTGTCATTCTTCTGTTACAATCCATTAGTGCCATTTTCAGTTCAAGAGCACCCTCTTCTGTTAGTACACTGAAATGACTATTTTGCAGGGAGAAGGATGGTGAAATACACCATTAAAAAGAGCACATTCTCCTTTTAAATCACACCACCTCCCCTAGAAGCCACGTCTTCCAGGGCTATCATCTCTAATCCTATATATTTCAATCCCTTATTTTTGGTTCTACATATAACGAGAGCCCTAACCTACCAGGTCTCAGACCTCTTCTCAGTACGTTCCCAGTCAGGGTAGGTCTTCCTCTTTCTGGGGATAATTTCATCTATAGTCTGCCACCTCCTCCATGAGGCTGGCTCTGCTGGGTTTAGGTGTTTATATGCCAACTGCCATGTAATCTGAAGTCTGGAGCATTCTGTCTACTGGATGTGGTAGCCATGGGTAAGTTATAGGTTTTATTTGCTCTCCTTGTTTATCTGTAAAGGTTGTTTTTGTTTTTATGGATGCATAGAGAGATTTAAGTTTTGGCAGTTACCCTTATTCTACAGGAATCCAGAACTCTGCAGAAAGTCTGAATTTGGATAGACCTTCTAGAAAGAGGAAAGAAAATAAATGCAACCGTAAGCATAAGAATGTCTCTCGTGTTCTCTCATCTACTGTGAAGATTTAAAGGATAAGAGGGAGACACAAAGTGAGGTGGCCTTGAGGAAGTCTGAAAACTCTTGTCCCAAATAAAACGGGGTAGCTTACCTGAGTAAGGTTCCATTGCAGCTGCTGAGCTGGCTGAACCCCATACATAGTCTGGGGCATAGCTGCCATGCCTGCCATGTAGCCAGCCTGCTGGGTGGTCATCATTCCATTTGGCACACCCATCATTGATGCCTGCATACCACCCATATAGCCTGCAGGCATGGCCATGGGGGCAACCATCCCAGAAGCCCCTGGCTGAGCTACCATGCCTACTGGTGGGGGCATCATGCTCCCCATTATGCTATTAGGAGGTGCAACCCCAGGGAAGCTGGGGTAGGCTGTGGGATATGCCATCTGAGCAGGAGCCATGAACATTGCTGCCAAGAGAACATACGTACAGATTTGTTAGGAAAGCACACAAAGTCAGCCCAAAGTCTCACTGGCTGCTCCTTTCCAACTAGAATTTCTCAGGACTCAACTCAGAATGCTCTTTTACACAGCCACACAGTCAGACAGATGCCTACACGCCTTGTCCTGGCTTCCCACCAGAGGGTTGCTGACCTAGCTACTTCCCCTTTACGGTCTAGATCCAGGCTTGCGTCAGACTTCACAGACACGTGACACCAGAGCCCACAGAAGAATCTGCTGGTACTCTGTGGCTTCACAGAAATGTCATTCACGTGCAGGCTTGTTTGGAGTATGATATCACAGCCCCCATAGCAACTGCCCTGTCGCAACAAACAACTCCTACATTGAAGTCCTTGTGTCTCTATCTGGCAGATTGCCAGCCCCCGCAAGAACTCTACCTTGGGCAGGCATCTGAGGCGTCTGGGATCCGTACAGTGAGAGGATGGAGTCTTTAGAGAGCTGTTTCTTGCCTGTTTCTTCTGATTTGCTCCCTGGCTCTGGAAACAGGTTCAGGTTTTCAGGAACGGAGCCGGCACTCCCTGCAGTTGGCATGGAACCTACCACCTTAGGGCAAAGAGGGCAGGGGGACAATTGGAATGGTCCTCATGGGAATCTCTGTAAAGATCTCCCTTATTTCTCTGTTGCTTCTAACATTTGCATTAAGAATTGATGGCTGGCCCTGGCTGATGTTGCTCAGTGGTTACAGGGGTGGGCAAACTTTTTGACTCGAGGGCCACAATGGGTTCTTAAACTGGACTGGAGGGCCGGAACAAAAGCATGGATGGAGTGTTTGTGTGAACTAATATAAATTCAAAGTAAACATCATTACATAAAAGGGTACGGTCTTTTTTTTCAATAGTTTTATTCATTTCAAGCGGGCCGGATCCAGCCCGCGGGCCGTAGTTTGCCCACGGCTGGGTTAAAATGTCAGTCCACACACTGAAGGGTTGCTGGTTTGTTTCCCAGTCAAGGGCATGTACCTGGGTTGCATGTTTAATCCAGGCTGGGCCAGAGTGCATGTGGGAAGAAACCAATCAATGTGTCTCTCTCACATCAATGTTTCTCTCTCCTCCACCCCCTCCCTTCCTTTCACTCTTAAAAAAAAATCAATGGGAAAAATATCATTGGGTGAGGATTAACAACAACAACAAAAAAACACCCAAAAAAGCCCTAGCCATTTCAGTTCAGTGGATAGAGCATCAGTCTGTGGACTGAAGGGTCCTGGGTTGGATTCCAGTCAAAGGCACATGCCCTGGTTTTGCAGGCTTGAACAAATATCAGAAAACACCTAATAGTTAAGCTCTGGAACAATGCTTTGTTCTTTAGTAAAACAGTGTAATTTGCTAAACATATAAATTTTAAAAATAAAAGCAACCACCCTAACCGGATTGGCTCAGTGGATAGAGCATCGGCCTGCGGACTCAAGGGTCCCAGGTTTCAATTCCGGTCAAGGGCATGTACCTTGGTTGCGGGCACATCCCTAGTAAGAGGTGTGCAAGAGGCAGCTGATTGATGTTTCTCTCTCATCGATGTTTCTAACTATCCCTCTCCCTTCCTCTCTGTAAAAAAATCAATAAAAAAATATATAAAAATAAAAGCAACCTATAAATGATACAGCCAGAAAGAACTGAGTTTAGATGCTGGGCACTAAATTTTCTGAACTAATGTTTCCTCATCTATAAAATATCATTTTGCAGGATTGTAATGAAGATTTTAAATTATAAGTGAAATATACAAAAACACCTAGCACTGTGCCTGGTACATAGCAGACATTCCACAAATAGTAGTCATCAAATGTTTCAAGTCTTTCACAGCTACAAATCCTCTGGCAGTAACTCAGGCCGAGGAGTTGACCTAAAGTATCAGCTGTACAACCTGACACACCTTAGACAGAAGCCCACTCAAAGGGCCCACCCTTTTTGGGCAGGAGAGAATGGAACGAACAGTAATCTTAGGCTGTAACAGAGACAACAGTGTATTAAGGAAAGAATCAAGAACCAAGAAAACCAAAGCCTAGTTCCACCAAGGAAGCATGACTCAGCTCCATGATTAAGTGATCAAAATCACTCTTTTCAGAATACTCTTTAAATCCTGAGGAGCCTGCCAGACTCACCTTTCTGGAAGCGGAAGAAGAGGGGGATGGAACAGAGGCCAAAAGATCTAAGTCCTTCTCTAGGGCATTGCTGGTCTTACTGCTGGTAATGGAGCAGGCCACAGGAGCATCTGGAAAGAAAGATTAGAGTAAAAAAAATGTAGCACTGCTCATTAAGCCCAGGCGCTCCTTCTATTGTAGACACAATGAAGACAGGGAAAGTCCATATACTCCATCTTGGATCTGGAAATCTAGGCTTCTGGAACCATCTAGCTTGGATGGGGCATCTCAAGAGAGGCCTTGCCCCACATTCCCAAGAGCACTCAGGAGAAGCCTGCAGCCCAGCTATCAGGCCAAGGGGGCTGGCTGGCTCCTTTCTGGCTATTTGAGAGACAACCCTGTGTAGGATTCATTTTCAGAGATAAATTAAAGATACATTAACATTAGAAGCCTAAGTAGCCAATAACCTAAATCAGCAGAAATGGATTGAAATAAAGTACAGCCATCAGTACTGTGAAAGATAAAGAACAGGTTTACTTCGGAATGGGGCAGGGTTTTCAGGTTTAGAGGAAAATGAGCACAAGATAAGGGGCATCTGAGAAACAGGCGGCACCTGAAAAATGAGAGGGACGGGGCCAGGCTCACAGGTGCTGGTTTAGTGAAAACTGCTACCATGTCCTGAGTGCTTAGTATGTGCCAAGCAAGGGGCTAAGGGCTTTAGAGGCATTGTCTCACTTCATCCTTCCAGCAACACCTTTGACATGGACACTTATACCATCCTCATTGCATAGACAGGAAAGGAATGTTCAGAGGTTATGTGAACTACCCAATGTCACTTAACAGCAAGTGGCAGAGCTGGGACTCTGGCTCTCAAGGCTGTATTCTTAAGCACTCCATTACTGTCGCTCTGGAAATGTCACAGTAAAACTTTCTTAGCACAACTGCTCAGACACAAAACAATAGGAAGAACACGAGAGAACACTCTTAGTGACAGGGGTACAGACGGAAAGACTCCCATCTCTGCCCAGCTTCCCAGGGTCAGAGAGAATTTGCAAGATTATGGGAGTGGGAAAGTCTGACTCTTACCGAGGCCTAACAAATCCATGACAGGTGCTGTGGATTTCGGGGAGCTTTTCCGAGGTAGCTGTGGATCTTCTTTTTTCTGTGGCTAAGGCGAAAACATGTTATTGAAAGAAATAAGCAGGTGTTTTGAACCCTTTCCCCTCCCCACTGTAAAGCCACAGGTTTCCTTGTGGTATGGTTGATGTTATTCAAAGAGAGTAACCAAAGAAACAAAACTCAGGAAGTGTCAGGTGAAAGAATCAAGTCAGAGGTACAAGTGCATAAATCAAACCTGAAGTGAAAAGCAAAGGTGTCATCTGTGCTTGTTTGGCTTTCCAAAGAGATAGGTCTGTCTGAAACCAAGACAACCACAGATCAGGGGTCCAACAGAAGTAGCAGGTTTTGGTTCCGGGAAAAACCAAGAATAAAGGTAGGTGTCTGATGGTACAAGAGCCAAAAGCCAGCAAATCCCCCAGTGATTAGAAAACCTTTAATATCAAAAGGGAGATCAGTCTAAAGATTACCTAACTCACTCTGCCAATATCACTAATGACTGTGTTCTTTAGACAGTGCGATTCAGAATGACGATAAAACACTCCTCCTTAAGCAAACAGTAAAAAGTCCTCTCTCCTAAGATTCCAAGATCTGATATTAGATATCCACTACCACAGCCACAATATGTCCTGTGGAAAGAGAAAGGTGTCTACTTCAATATGACAGAGCAAGAATACAAGAAGCGATGGCTTAAAATGGATCAGTCTGGCCTGGCTTCTGGACTGTTCTTAACTGTAACAGGAAATGAGATACAGAAGATCTAATAAGAGGTAACATCTACTCAGAAGGTGTCATACAGCCTTGATATTCTGGCATGGATCATGCCTTTTGCTTAAATGGAACAGATGTGGTTCCTAAGCTGCCATCTAACTCCAAAGAAACTGTTACAGAGCAGATTAGGCAACAATTAGCTGGGAAAGAAGCTGAAGTGGCAGCAGGTGAGCTCATCTAAATGCAAAACCCTTTAGTCCCAAGTACAATATGCTATCAACCTCCACACTTATAAACACACCTGAGGCCATCCACAGATTTCAAATACTTTCCCACTTACCATTTTCACTTTCTCAAAAACAATAGGTTCCATTTTTTTCTCTGAAGCTGGCTCATTCCCTCTTTTCCACTTGTCATCTTTTTCTTTCTATAATGATTTAAAAACAAGACAAAGAACACAGGCCCAGTAGTGACTAGCAGTTTTGATAAATTGTCATTTCAAATGTCGAATAAGGATACAAAAAGTCCCTGTTGACTCTGATACAGGAGTCTGACAAACTTTGGAGTTTCTTGGTGTGGGGTATGAGAGTCGGCCTCGTCCACATCAGCCTCAATGCTCTAAGAGGCATCCTTCAAATACCTTAAGCACCCGCCCTCCCTCATCTGTCTTATGACTCTGGAAATGTGCCGGTTAGGCTATCTACAGAGGAAAAAACATTTTGCCCGTCTGCTGCTGCTCCTTTCGACTCAAGTTTAATTTGCTCATGTTTGAGGGGTCCCCCCTCATCTTGGTGAAATAAGTTCATGTTCATCTAACTAATACATATCCTTTGTAATTTTATAAATTCAGTTATAACTTCTTTCCATCTTTATCTTTTTTTTTTAAATCAGGAAAAAAATGTCAAGCTTAATGGTTAGAAAAACAATAATCAAGGAAATAAGGCCAAAAAAAGAGTAAAAGGATTACAAAGTATCCCAAATGAGCCGCCTGTATAAAACCAACAAGTACATCAAAACAATATATTAGAAAGTCTCTCTCAGTTTTTGTTACTTTCAGAGTCTGTTTCATAATATTTTCACCCGTGTTATTGGTCATATTTTAAAAATCATATAAACATTTAAATGTCAAACAGAACCACAAAGTAAACTCAAGAACACAGGCTTTTGAAAAGAGGTAGACCACACATGTGAAAATTTAAGGCTTTGCTACTGATCAAAAAGTGCAATTTAAAATGCCTTTTTTTTGGGAGGGGGGAACAAAGATCTTAATAATACCTAATATTGGTAGAGATGAAGGAAAACTAGTACTCTAATATAGTGCTAAGAAGACAGTATAAAATAGTACAACATCTGGAAAGTATACTGGCAAAAGTATGAAAGACAAATACTGAAACCCTTTGACCTAGATAATACCATATTTTGTAATATATCTTAAGAAAATAATCCAAAATATGGAAGACCTCAGATGTACCAAGTAATTCACTCCATAATTATTTATAACAATTATGCAGAAAAAAATGTAAATCACAACCCTTATGCCACAAAAGGAAAAAGGTAAGATAAATTGTGATCTAAGTATATCAAATAAAAAAAATGAAATAGCCTTTTGGTAAACAGGAGTTTTTTCCTTCCTAAATGGAAATATCTAGTGAGTAAAACAGGCTGTTTTCATGAGCACACTATCTTCCTACAGAAACTCTTCCTCATCTTCGGGATGACCTCAGATACCCTTTTCTGAGCTCATCTAATTTCACATCTTCAGGTACAACGAACAAAGGTAGGCAGACAGACCATAGTTTTCTATAAATAAAAGGCAATGTATGTGCTTTGGTTTCAAACCCTTTCTGATGCCATCCAAGCCGTAGCTATGTACTGGGTTAATCTCCCTTGGAACAGTTAAGATAACTTCCAGATCCCTTTTCTGGATGACTATGAGGTAAGAGTATTACCTTGCACTTATCTGTCTGCATTGAAATTCACCTACCAATTAATGCCTTTTCACATAACCTCAAAAGATCAATTTGGAGCTCTACATAACCTGGAAGGGCTCAGAGCCCTGTGTAAACTTAATGATTTCACTAACTAGTGCATCCTCCATTAGAATAATTAACTAGATGGATGACAGATAGGACCTGTGCTAGAATTCGAGAATACCATACTTTCTGTCTTTCTGTGGTTCAAGAAATAGTCAATTACATCTCAAGAAATTTACTGTAGAACCTTGTCAAAGGCTTTTTAAAGGTCTAAAGAGATATTTATTGGTTCTTTAGTTGTCAGTAATCAGGATTACAGCCTTCTTCCAGAAACCATGTCATATTTCCTCCTGTATATTATACTTGTCCTAGTTATCATACATCGTATTTCAGATTCTAACCACATGTCTAGGATGAAAAGCATACTTGGCAACTGGTAGTCTCCATCTAAAACCCTTCTTAGGAACAAGGGTCATCCCATTAGCAATCAGTCCACCGATGCACAGGAAATACATGCTGGTCAAGCTGAAGGAAACTGGTGATTTAATTACACTTAATTTTGTTGACTTCACTTATGGAAACAAAATTTATGTATGCATGAAGGGTTTGTATGTGTGTATATATAAATAATATAAATTTACATGTATACACATATACATATATATGTATATGCACATTTTCTATTTGATCTCATATGCCCAACATGTCCAGCTGAAGAAATAATTTGGAACTGGGAGTCACTAGCATCCAAATGCAGATCAAGACAAAGAATTCACTGATGGTTTGCCCTGTCTTCCCTTGAGGCCAAACTTTGCTTCATGATATTTCATGGTCTTGATTCAATAACTGGCTTTTTTCTACCTCTGCATCTTTATTATTTTATCGATTTGAGAGAAAGCGAGAGGAAGCGGGGGAGAAATAAAAAAGTGGGGGGAGAGAAAGGGGAGGAGGGGGAGAGAGAGAGAGTCATAGATAAACATAGATTTTTGTTGTTCTACTTATTTATGCATTGATTGGTTGATTCTTCTATGTGCTGACCGGAAATCAAACCCAAAACCTTGCTGTACTGGATCGATGCTTTAACCAACTGAGCCAGTGACGGCGAACCTTTTGAGCTCGGCGTGTCAGCATTTTGAAAAACCCTAACTTAACTCTGGTGCCATGTCACATATAGAAATTTTTTGATATTTGCAACCATAGTAAAGCAAAGACTTATATTTTTGATATTTATTTCATATATTTAAATGCCATTTAACAAAGAAAAATCAACCAAAAAAAATGAGTTCGCGTGTCACCTCTGACACGCGTGTCATAGGTTTGCCATCACTGAACTGAGCTATTTCTTAAATGATAGTTTTTGAGCATGTTAGTAACTGATCTTCAAATTCTTCCCTGGCCCGATTAATAAGCAAATTACTTATTATGAACAAAACTTGAAAGAGTTACAACCAACCTTAAGGGCATTGATGTCTAGACTTCGGTCCATGTATTTCTTCTTCTCATATTTATCTCGAATAAATCCCTCGACAGCTCTGCAAAAAGCTTATTAAGGATAAATCAAACAAGTCTTTCCCAGGATGACTATAAAAGGTCAATCTGTATCCCATGGAACGTTGTGCTCGCTCCCTCCTGCCTGGCTTCCCCATACAGCTCCTGTCTCTTCACATGTAGTTTCCCTGACCAAAGCCTCGAAATGCCTCCTTCCCTGTTATTGCAGGGAATCCCATTTCCTCTGATTTTCCGTCAGAGCACTGATAGCATCAAATGGGATTAGTCTTCATATTGGCAGCAGAGGAGCCTGTGGCTGCTCTAGAAGACAGATAAAGCAGCAGTCAATTACCTATTTTAAAGCCCTTATGTCAATAGGCCTTAAACAAAGGCAACTGGTGACCCTAAAAACTATAAACTCTTGCGCCCCGCGGCCAGATTCTGTGGCCCCAAATCTGCTTTTTAACAAGTTCTACCTGCACCAACCAAAAAGCCAACTCTAACAAGATGGTCAACAAACCATGGCTTTTGGGCATTGGTTTTGTGAGCTGGGTGCTCTCCCATGCAGAGGGGACGGGAGAAAAAAGTTACTAATTGGTCAACAACAGTTAATTCTTTCACACAGAACATAAAAAGGCCTTAAAAAGTGAATGGTAGTTTTGCTGATTCAACACCACACAGTAAATGATTTTTACCAAACAACAGCTTCAGAGACCCAAATAACTATTGGAGATGTCACTTTACAGAAGAAGTCACAGTGAAACTGAACCACTGCAGTCTTAATTCCTGAATGAGTTTCCCCCCTGTGGCACCACCATTCTGACACAGAAAGTATACATGTGCTTTTCGTAGGCCTTGGTTGCAGGAGAGAGACAAAAACAAGATATGACTAATCCACATAGATTAGATCTGACTACACAGACAGATCATGAGATGTGAATATTATGTGACTCTCCCAAAACACCAAAATACCACTCAGTCTTCTAAGTTGCTCCAGAAAAGATACGGGTCTATTTGAGGTCGCCGAAAGGTCTCAGGAAGGTAGGCTTCATAAAGTCGGTTTGCCTTTCCATTCCCCATCTCTTGCATACACTGCAATCAAAGAGATGTGGAAACATGGAATGTCAGATTAGGAAAGAAATTTAAAACTTCTCACCCAATGGCAGCATTTTACATTGAAGAACCAACCTAGAGTGGTAGAACCAAGATTAAAACCTGTGTATTTTGATTTCCAATCCGTGATTCTCTCTACTTTGCTCGCAACCATTTGCCCTACAGCTGTCTTTACTACCTCACCCCTGAGTTCCATTTATTGAAAGATCTGTCTGACAAGATATATTTAATTCAGTAATAATTCAAAATTCCATTTGAAAGTCCAAGACACAGCTACCAAATGTCTACTTGGCAGGCAATACTCAGTGCCTAATCTGGCAGGCAACATGCAGGGAGTAATTACACTCGGAATTTATACTATTAGTTAACCCATTCAGCTTTATTACCAATAACTGTGTTTTACACTAGGCTTTTGAAATAGATTCCTTAGCACTTGTGAGGGATAAATCCCAAGATCTTTTAAAATCTTCAAATTCCCAAATACCTCTATGGCATGTAGTTTCCTTCATAAGATACAGTAAAGTGCAACTGAAAGTATAACTAAACTTTAGACTTTTAAAGAATCTATAAGCCCTTGCCGGTGTGCTCAGTGGTTATGGTGTTGGCCCGAGCACCAAAGGGTAAAAGGTTCAATTCCCATTCAAGGGCAAGTATCTAGGTTGCAGGTTCAATCACTGACCCTAGTTGGAGCACATGTGGGAGGCAACCAATCGATGTGTCTCTTCCACATCCATGTTTCTCTCTCTCTCCCCACTCCCTTTCTCCCTTCCACTCTCTCTAAAAATCAATGGAAAAAATATCCTTGGGTGAGGATTAACAAAAAACAAAACACACACACACACACACATACACAGGTCTAAAATATTTCTAAGGCCATGTTCTGGTTAAGAATAATTTCTTATTTCTACCATCTACTTTAGCAGCTGGTTTTCTTTGGATCCACTCTCCCCAAGAATTTTTTTTCTTAATTATTATAAAAAGTTTCAATGCAGGAAGAGACAGAGAACAATGAAGCCACATTGAGGTGCAGATCTTGGGCCAGCTGGACTCACTAACTCTACTGTCTCACTCTCAGCCCACCAGCCTAACTGCAAGCATTTTAGCACTAAAATGTTGTAAGTCTATGAGAGGCTTCTAATATTTGTTTTTAGAGAATATCTAAAACTACAAATGTTAGATCTGCAGATGTCAAGGGTCTTAGAAAATAATCCAAAGACCCTCCTTTACATCTTTCTCGATCCACGGGGTCCTAGACCATAAACCATTTGTGATTTGAAGGAGGTAAAATATAGGTGGAATAATCTGTACTTTAAATAGAAAGATTAACATTTTCACTGTTAAGGTATGAGAACTGGATATAGGTGTCTGACAACTAAACTTTCCTTTATCTTTGTGCCCAGTTTGAAATTCATCCAGAACTACTTTAGCACACTCTTGGGTTGTATTAAGTACCTGAATCTGTTCTTGAGTCCACTGGTCAAGGTTAACTGATTTTACCCTGGATATGTGCACCCCCAAATTCCTGTGGATTCCAGCACATCGAATGCAGATGAACACACCAATGTTCCAGGAGGCCCATCGTGGCCCTGTGAAGGTCAGGAACAGTCATTAAAGTACAAATTAAAACAACATTCAAGGCTCAACCTGTAATATTTAGATTATCAAACATTTCAGCTAGAACACAAATGAGAGGATTGTTATCTCAATCACCTTTTTATTGGGTTAGTTCATTCCTCCATGAATAGGCTTTCCTTCTTTTTCATTTAGCTTTAATTTTTTTAAGTGTACAATACAGTGTTTTTTAGTATACAGGGTGAGGCAAAAGTAAGTTTATAGTTCATATGAAAAATAACACAATAATTAATAAATAATAATATAAGAATAAACCCTCTGCTTTGCATAGTCACAACTGTAAACTGACTTTTGCCCCACCCACCCTATATTCACACAGTTGTCCAACCATCACCACTATCTAATTCCAGAACATTTTCACCACTCCCAAAAGAAACCGCAAACCCATAAGCAGGCATTCCTCATTTCCTCCCACTTCCTCCCCAGGCCCCAGGCCCTGGCAACCATAAATCTAATCTGTGTCTATAGACTTGCCAATTCTGGACATTTCATACAAATGGGATTATGCAATATGTGGACATTTGTGTATGGAGCAGCCTTTTACAATGTCTGATAATATGAGTACTGAAATGTAGATGTTGTAATACTGTTACTTATATAAAAAAATCCTAGGAGAACAGTGAAAAGTTTTATCACATTCTATTTAGTATCTTACACGAACAGCCCTCCCTCAAGCAACTTTTCAATGGTGGTGGGGCCTGGATTCACTTTTCCTCCTAGGAAAAAAGATATAGACATGCCATACTGACCTAAGGTTCAACCTGAAATGTAAAACTTTGTTTATCCTCCCCTCCCTAGCAGGCCTATAAAATATGCATCCAGATTAGGTTAATAGGATCCTTTCTCCTTGGGCCGATGTCCCTACTTTACCCTATAGAATTACCTAGATTCAAGAATGTCAAGTAAAGGTGCTTATTGAAATAAAAAAGAAGTCTCAGATATGTATTTTAATTAAAAATGGTTACATAAGCTCCCATCCCTTGCCAACTTTGCTCACCCTAATAATCACTCTGGAAAGTTATCAAACTCCTCTTCATAATCTTTTTTTCCTCTTCCTAATCTTTGTACAGGAAAAGCAACTTATTTTTATATAACACCTGACAAATACTTACTGAAAAATCACTAATATTTCCTTCTCCATCATTCTACTAGGCAGAAACTTACCACATAAAATAAGCATGATATCAAAGTTAGCAGTTGCAATAGAGATGAAAAGACACAAAATTATTTTCCTCCTGAGATAAACAGGACCCTGGGTTTTGAACAACTAAGGGCACAAGACTTCAGTTCTGCTGGACACAATTATTTGGTTGGTCTGCAGTTTTTGACAGCAGTCTCAATAAAGGAAAGCTAGAATCATATGCCAGATATTCTCAGAAATTTGAATCCACGACTATCATAAATAAGAATGTAATTTTTAAACAAAGATATCATTCAGATATTATGGCGAATATTACAAATACAGAAGGCTCAAATCCTCCTTATAACCACCAGGTGGTGTTCTCTGCCTAAAATTTTATCCCAATATCTTCTTATTGCTAAGCTCGATAGCCTCAGATTTATCTTCTAAAAAGACCTTCAGTCCCTTCAAATCCCTAGATAGATTTGCACAGTAGATCTGCCTTATAGCTAATAAACATATAAAGGATTCACACATTTCTTCCGATGGCAGGGAGTTACATAAACACAAACAAAAAACCTAAACAGACATGAATGAAATTTCATAGGGGGCTGTATGTCTATTTTAGGTTACAGTTTTCATAAAAGAACTCAGATATGGTCTAAGTTATACAGAGTTAAAAATGGGACCAAAAGTTAATATCTCATATTTTTTTACCATTTTCCCTGTGCTTTAGATTCTAGAATTCATGATAAAATAAAGTACATTTGTTTGTGAGCAAAATCAGAAGCCAAAAACATTAATTACAAGTTGCTGTGGAGCATAAGGAATATAGTCAATAATCCTATATAATAAAAGCCTAATATGATGTGTCCAGTCATCCGTTCAATCAATCAATGTGTAATATGCTAATGATATGCTAAGGCCGCTCAACCACTCACTATGATATGCACTGACCACCAGGGTGCAGACAGTCAACTGGTTGACCAGTCGCTATGACGTGCACTGACAACCAGGGAGGACAGATGCTCCAACCGGTAGGTTAACTTGCTGCGGGGGTCCAGCCGATCTCGGGACTGAGCGAGATGGGCTGGACACACCCTGGAGCCCTCCTGCGGTCCCTTCCCTGGCTGGCCAACCTCCTGCATCCCTCCCCTACCCTGATTGTGCACCGGTGGGGGCCCTCGGCCTGGCCTGCGCCCTCTCGCAATCCAGGACCCCCCGGGGGATGTTGGAGAGCCGGTTTCTGCCTGATCCCGCAGGTCAGGCCAAGGGACTCCACTGGTGCATGAATTCGTGCACCGGACCTCTAGTAATCTAATAACTATGTACGATATCAGAGGTACTAGACCTATCAAAGTGATCACTTCATAAGTTATATAAATGTCTAACCACTATGCTGTACACCTGAAACTAGTATAATATTGAATATCAACTGTAATTTCTAAAAAGTTTTGCCTTAGCTGGTTTGGCTCAGTAGATAGAGCACCAGCCTGTGGAATGAAGGTTCCTGGATTCGATTCCTGTCAAGGGCACATGCCCAAGGTTGCAGGCTCAATCCCCAGTTGGGGGGACGGGGTGCAGGAGGCAGCCGATCAATGATTCTCTCTCATCATTGATGTTTCTCTCTCTCTCACCCTCTCCCTTCCTCTCTGAAATCAATAAAAATACATATTTTAAAATGTTTTAAGGCTTAAATTAAAAAGTTAGATGTGGAATGTTATGGTTTGCTTCCTGGCCATAAGTCAGAAAGTGCTTCTCAGTCATGTAAGCCACCATCACACTGTGGAATTTCTCCAGATCCTATTCCAGAGTATATAAAGACTCTGCCTCTGAGGAATGTAAGACTGATATGCTGGAACTACTAATAAGGCCTCAGGACAGAAATACAGGCAATAACATGTTCATGAAAAGCCAGGGGAGCTCCGCTGCCCCCTCCCATACCATATCCCTCCTACAACCTTTTCCCAGTGAAATAATGACAGTTCTATCCCAGACACTCAGCCTCCTTTAGTTTTAAGCCACTAGATTTATTAGTCAATAGCTGTATTCTCCATAACAGATTCTGAAATTGGGTAAGAAAAATTACTTATATGGCTGAAAATAGTGTCATTATTAAAAGTATAATCTTTGCAGCAACATAAAATTTAGTTTGTATGTCAGCTCCATCAATGATTAGCTATATGACCTTCAGAGATATTTAAATTTCCTAATTCTCGGTTTAATCATGTTCAAAATATGTACAATACCACCTACCTCACTGTGCTTAGAATGTAGAGGGATAGTGGCAAAAGAGAGTTACGTAAGTACATGGTATAGAATGAGACTTCCACAACCCATTACCAACTCATCTTCTTCACTGACAAGGACTGGTTAACTCATTCAGATGTATATACCAACAATCTATGCAACAGTGGAGAATGCTTTTTAGACAGGCATGAGTTCCAGACTGTAAATGTCAGAATCAAAGTTGACTGACTGTATAGAAGAAAGAAGGAATTTACTCTAGATCCAATGTCAAAGTCTTCTAGAAAACATGACATTGAAGCATCTTCCTTTATCTCCCTCAAAATATTCCTTGAAAATGCACTATCTAAACCCCCACCCACTTCCCTTCTCCACTACACACTCCCACCCTGCCCTTGTGCGCACACATGCTTCCACTGCACATACCAAGGCCCAAAGCTGCTGGCCTGCCATGCTGGGCTCCACAGCATCTGGTATTGCTGCTACAAGGCCAGACTACTTAAGTCTGGTATACTTGCAAAGATAAACCAATTGCTCAATACACATCAGTCATGGCAACCAGGAGAATATGTAAAAGATGCCATTTTGAAATTGAAAATGGAAAGGGACTCTGAGAGGCAATATTCTGAACAATTTTAAAAGCAAAGAGGATAGACAAGTGATATAAATTGGTAGCGATGAGCACAACACAAGAACAAGGTCATAGCTAAGTGAGCATACTCAACAGGAGCCTAGGAGCAGGCTCAGGAAGCATGAGGCAATATTAAAATTAACATATAATCACTGTGCAATAAGGAATCAGTGAAAATAAACTATATGGATGAGGTTGATGAGTCAAGAAATCGACTGTAGTAAATACCAGCGGAAAACCAGGGAAATCTGGGATGACTGATAAATACACTAGGCTTTCATTTTGATGTCTCTCTTGGGCTATGACTCCATTTATAAAACGGAAAGTATATAAGTAATAGCCAATTTACATTCAAATGCTGAGCAGCTTCTAGTGTTCAGTAACTACTGGTGCCCTGCTGCAAACACCCCCCTCCCCCCTGCTGCTAAGGCTTCCCCCCAAGGACCAGCGCTGCCAGGCTTAGACCGATTCTGGGCTTGAGAAGTCAGCAGAAATGAGAACTAGAGTTACAGGCAGCTTGAAGAGACTAATTACAGATCAATGGCCTCTAACCTATGGAGTTCCAAACAAATAAATGTTGAGGGGGGAATGATAAATTTTTAAAATCAATGTAAAATAAAATCAAATAAAGTCAATGTCTATGCATAGACTTGCTGGCATCATGGAGCTGTTGAAAAGCTCTTCAACAGAAGAAGAGTCAAGGATGGGAGAGAAAGTATCTTCCATCTTACATGCAAGCCCTGTTGAACCTACCTTGGAAATTTTCCCTGAATCTATCCCTCTTTACCTAGACCTTCTCAACTCTCATATCTAAGCATTCATTCTTTTAACATTACTTATTGAGTATCTATTACATGCCAAGCACTGTGCCTGCTAGTTATTATGGATAAAAAGGCAGAGATAATACAGATGAGATTCCTGATTCAAAGAATTTATGGACTAACAACTAATTGGTC